TGATGTTCTTAAGTTGTAAGAAAATGGTGATGCTATACTATTTATTTTTAATGGAATAAAGAAGGAAATATATTTACTAATGTGATTTCAAAAAGATTACAGATTTGTGATAAGCTTTTTTTTTTTTGTCGTCTGTTGTTTCATTGATTTCAAAGTAGGACAGCCGAAAGGCAAGTTACAACGACACTAATTCTAAAGCCGACGGTTTAAAGATATAACCTCGGAGCCAAAAGCCAGCGGTTGCATTGATACAATCCCGGAAACATAGAAAACACTTAAACTAACATCCAAAAACTACAAGAACAGAGACAAGACTAACAACTAACCCCTAGACGAGACTCAAATTTAGTCAAAGAGAGAACGAAACCGGCTTGATAATGCTATGGACAACCGTAGCTGTAGATTGCGTCTCCTATGCACCTTTGCCTCAACCAACCCCCTTCAAAGCCAAAAAAAACGCCATAGGACTTCGAAGCGAGGTTACCACGCATCTTCTACATGCCTCCACTCTACTAACTCCTTCCAGATCCAACTAAAACTTGCGGTTGACCTCTGAAAGAGCACACCACGCGCCGTTTACGCGCTTCAGAACCACAGCAAGGCTAACCGGAACATACAAGACACACTCAAAACAGCCGGTAACCATAGATATACCACCACAAACCGTAAATCTGTAGAGATCAACGTTTACGGATTTCTATTCCAAACTCTTCACTTCCATCCGAAGACCAGAAGATTCCTGACCAGATCTGAGATCTAGAAGCTAAAAAACATAACTAAAACGAACCAAACTAGAAACACCACAACAAACCACCGCGCCAAGGCTCCAAAAACGCCAGGGCCTCCACTGCCGCATACCTCTTCACGAACAAAGGCACGACCGGGAGAGAGACGACGCCCCAGAACCATCAGCAAAGCGATAGGAGAGTGGAGCACCAGAGAAGCAAAGAGAACAAGACAAAGCAAAAGGAAGGAGGGCTTCCGGCACCGGACGCACGCTCACGCGCCGCCGGGCCGAAGCTTAATCTCAGATCTGGTTTAGCTTTCTTCTTCTTATCGCGAGAGACAGTGATTTGTGATAAGCTTATAATCCAGTAATTAACAATAACTAACAGAAAGTAAATTTATATTTACCTACCTAAACTCTGTTGCCAAAATCTATTGGATTCTTTTGACGTCACTCTGATTTTGCTTGGGGCATTTCTAAAATCAGTTGACCGTCTAATATATTATGTGTACTTCCAAAGTTTAGGACTACAAATTATAATATCCCTAATAATTGACATACAATTTCGGGTAATGTGTGAAGAAAATTATTTAACTAAGTTTTCTACCAAATTTATACTTTGATAAAAGTAAATAATAATTATTATAAAGTTAAATTTTAAATCTAAAGATGTATGAAGGTACTCTTGAAAAATCGACTGATAGAAGTTATCCGCAACCTCATTAATGGCATTATGATCATTTATTTTTGTCTTACATATATATATATATCGATTGTTACAAATCAAATCACATATTACTATACCCGATTTATTCTCTCTCTTCCCATTAATTACTTTAACCATATTCCGTACTATATTTCATACATTTATATTGTGTTATAGACCTTATATTACATGATTTTAATCAATAAATTTCCAACATTATAATTTTTTGGTTGACATTTTTTGGTATATGCATCATATATCGATGATATGATGTTATATTTCATATGTATTAATATTTTCATATAGTTGTACTACACCTTATATTTCAAACACTATACTTTATCAACTCATATTACTCTAACCATGATATGATGATATATATTATATATTAAGATTTTCATATAGTTGTACTCACCTTATATTTCAAAGACTATATGATATAAACTCATACTATACTTTATATTACATATATTAAGATTTTCTTATAGTTGTAGACATTTGTTAATGTATTATATACTATATTGTCTATATCGACATTTTCATGAGTTTTGCATACTATATCAAACATTTTTCAATTTCTCGTTACTTCTATCATTTATTTCATACCTCAAAACCATTTCAAATATCAGGAAAATGGAGAATCCATTCAAATGTCCTTCATTTCGTGTTTTTCTCCATTTCAAGACATTTGAGAATGGATAATCCATCCAAATGTCATCCATTTCATTTTTTCTTCTTCATATGTCGATATATCATCATTCTCATGGTGACATTTAATGACGAGATACGTTTTGTTAAGAAAATATTGCAAAAAACATTTTTTATAATTATCTTCCTACTAAAATAAATAAATTGCTTAATCTACAAGTTTATAGATTAACCACAATCAATATCGTGGTTAGTTATTCTTTGGTTGAATTCCATAAATTTTGGTAACTTACCGTAGTTGGATTACCATTAACTGTTAAAATTTAAATTTCCTATCTAATTCAAAATATCTTCAAAAAATATTCTTTATTCCTCGAAAAAGATATTTTTTTAAATCGTCTAAATATTATGTCCTACATTTGCGTAACCTAAATGTATATCATCCCTACCTATTATAAATATAGCCTCTCTTAACCACTATATTCATCATTCTTTGAAAAACCTAAAAAAAAATGGCGAATAATTTGCAGTTGTCTTTCTTGAGCGGTATAAAACCAAAGAAGACTGCATGTCACATCCAAGTAAAAAGCCTTCATACATGGAGACATTTCATGAAAGACATAGGGGAGACCATGGAACTAATCCTTTGTGATGCAAATGTAAGTTTATCGTTTTATATAGATTTATGATTAAGATATCTTTATTTCGTAAAAGTTTAACCTAAAATAATAATGTTATTTTTTTGTTTATATAGGGAATTAAGATCCATGCCTCGTGAGACATACATTCCTAAATTGGCAAAATATATTTGTGTTGGAGTTCGTGGACATTTTGTAAGTTTTATATATTTAATATAAAATATATAGGCCTATAGACATATTGATTTATAATTTGATATGCAATTCAATTAGTGGTCAGAGATAAGCTTGATGTCTTTGGGGTAAATTTTCTAAAAATCTTCATACAGTTAGCCAAGAAACAGAAGGCATGGTGATATGTCTTCTATGATTTGCTAAGATTAGACAATATAGAGGTATTCCTTGAAAATAAAAACTTTTGTTTCGATTTTGTACTAAATGACCATTGTTTATAGCTGGACATATGTTTCTACTGACTCAATGTTTTGATCATTCCTTCATTTTTCTGTTTTATGTCAGGTGATGTCCAAATCTCAAATGCTTATAATGTAAGTAGGGTTGGGAATCTGAGTCATCACCCGCGGGTCCTGCCCCGTTTAACCTGCTGCGGGCGGGTGCGGGTCGAACAATTTAAAAAAGTTGATTGGCGGGTGTGGGTTATGAGTATTTTATGCAGGGCGGGAGCGGGTTATGAGGATTTTATGTTGGGCGGGTGCGGTTTGGTGGATTTTGAATCGCGGGTACCCACCAACCCGCAATTTTTTTTATTTCTTTTCAATAATATTGATTTTTCAAATTTACTATGGGTCATGGACCCATCCAATTTTGGTTTCAATTTAATATGTATTTTAGTTCTTTATACTCTCACAGCACTTAATTTCTGATTTTCTGTTCAACCAAAAACTGATTCGGTTATGCAAAATTCAATGAAAGACCCTGCTAAAAGGTTAAATATACATCAAATTTCATATATAAAACTATCATATAATAGAAATCGAATCATTTGATATATTTTGTTACAACCAACACAAAACCCGCGCTTCTCAAGCGCGGGTCAAAATCTAGTATATGTTTAAAACAAGGGGAGTCTTATCCTCTTTGCCTAGAAACACCACCATGTGGAATTGAGAAATTCCTAAACAAATATAAATCATATAGAATAAAAATTGTATAAGTTAATAATTAATTGTTGTTAGTTATGAATTAGACCAGTTTAAAATAGGATACAAATCACTAAATAAATAATCACTTGTTAAAAAAATCATATCAATATATAATCCTATCAAAATTCTAAATTAATAATTTCTATTTGTCAAATTTATATAAATAAAAATAATATAATTTTTTAATGCAACTTTTAAGCCACGTACGAGTTTAGAATTTATATAAATAAAAACAATATACTAGTTTACTGCAAACTAGCAACGACATTTGGAGTTAGGGAATGTTAGTGTTAGAATGTGCAATAAGAAGATTCTCATACTTCGGGTCTGATTGGTTCAAATGCAGCAATTGCAGTTGCGGTCGCGGGAGATTGCGGAAGCGGGTGGTTGCGGTTTTTTGTGGTTTAAGAGATTTGTACGACTGGTACTACGGTTAGAATTTTGTGTGTTTTCGAAATATTTATGACTGGTTAACTACTAAATGCATTAGTGGTTAAAATATAAATTAACAATATTTACTTTTTTATAATTATAAAAATACCAAAAATCATATTTTCATAATAAATATAAAATTATACTTATAAAGTTGTAGTTTTAAAATTTTAAAATTATTGAAAATATTTTTATTTAAATTTTATAATATTAATTAAATATAATAGATATATTTTAGTATTTTTATAATTCCAATTTATTTAATAATTTTATTGAATATTTTTTTATTTTTATTGTTTAAAAAGAATAATCACTCTCCCGCAACCGTCCGCAATCGAAAACACTAGTTGGAACCACCTTTTGAATTTAAGAGGTTTAGAACAGTTTGAAGCGGTTCAGAATGATTTGAGATTGTTGCAAAACACCAATAATCACTACCAAACGTAAAAATTGTGTTTGCGGATGATAGCGGTAAACCAGTCATGCTCTTAGTATATGAAGTCCAGGAAAACCCGCCGAGTTTTTATGAGCTTTTGGCAGAAATCGTAGAGAGTCCACCACCAACTGCTCCTTGTGATCAGTTCTCACCTGAAGTTTGCTCCTTTTATCAGCCTGGTAAGTGGGTAACTCATTATATGCTTTTTTGTTTACTTTACAACATCAAAACGTATAAACAATGGATATTAATGGTTCAATTGGTTCTTCTTTACATTTCAAACAGCTTACGAAAGGATCCTCCAGCAAGAGCATCATCCTTGGACCTATTGGTAAGTAATTCTTACTCACCGACTCTCTTTTACTCTCTTGGTAACAACATTTAGGATGTTTGATGATGAAACATTCAATTTGTTTTGTTAATGCTCTCAGAGTCATCCATTCATAAAAAAATTTGAGGACATGGATATTGATCTCGGAATACTTGTTGGCACTCTGGAACCACCTGTTAACTGCCTCAGATAAGAAAATCTCTCTTTTTTTCTGCATTTGGTATATGATATACATCATCTACATCTTTTTTTTTCTGCAGTTGGGTCCTCCTGACAGCCAGAACCCAACTGACTCAAACTAAGTTACAAAGTGACACCTTGACCCAAATAAGAAAACCTCATCCGGTGTTTGATGCCCTTGAAAGCTACATTTCGCTAGAGAGACAAAGATGAGAAGACGAAGAGGAGATGAATCAAAGCGGAGCCACTCAAGAATAGTCCGGAATAACATGATCCCAGAAAGTTCGACTATCGTCAAATGAGAAAATGAGATCCGCCGGTGTCAAAATCTACAAAGCCGACTCGATGTAATATATACAGATTTTGTTTGAAAATGTGATTCAATAGATTGGGTCAATTTATAAACTTATTTGTTCCCCAAAATTATTACATTTCATAAAAGACTAAGTCAAAGGATACTATATAATAGTCTTGCTGTCCTTGACATGTATGAAGACTTGAGAGATCATATCCAAGGAGAATAGTATGTGCCATGTAGTGGAGAGACTCATTGACACCCTCATGGGGTTCATGCTCCATGATTATTTATTTACTATGGATTATGATTATTGATCAAGAGAATTCTCGCATAATAATCTGTCATATTACTTTGCAGAAGGGGATAAATAATTCATATTTACTACAATCTGGAAAATCCCAATCTTACAATATTAAAAGGGGAATATGAAGTCCTTTGAACTATGCCACCTATGAGGTGCGATAATATATGCCCACGATGTGGAGGTCAGGAGGAAACAATTGCACATGCAATTTTTCAATGCCCACCGGCTTTGCAGGTATGGGCACTGGCATCTATACCTACCAGCCCCACTTTATTCCCTTTGGAGAGTACATACGCAAATATGGATTATCTGTTTTGGCGGAAGAAGATCATTTGTGGGCCAGAATTAGAAAGGGACCCTTACCCTTGGTTGATATGGTACATTTGGAAGGCTCGGAATGATAAGTTGTTCAGAGGAATAAATAGAGATCCATTGGAACTGGCCCGGTATGCAGAGAGTGAGTGTCTTGCCTGGTTCCAGGCTAATGAGCAAGTTGTTGAAACTATACAAGGGGATGGCGATATTGAACGTCAGGCCATAAGTCTACGAGATATCTGCATGATAGATGGTTCTTGGACCTCTACAGATCAATTTTCTGGGTGTGGTTGGGACTGGAAGGATAGCAGGAGAAATAGTCAACTGATGGGGATGCGTAATGTGAATAGAGTAGAGTCGGCTTTGTATTCTGAGCTGGAAGCGCTGCGGTGGGCAATGGAGAACATGCTTCAACATTCGCCATGTCAGAGCTTTGGGACGGACTGCAAGGAATTGTTAGCAATGCTTAAGGAACCCCACGGATGACCAAGTTTTTCGACGGAACTGGAGAGGATTTCGACGCTGAGGATTTGTTTCCCAAAATTTGAGATATCTTATGTACCTCGATCTCTTAATGTTGTGTCCGATCATCTAGCTAAGACTGCCCGATCCTTTTATCGGAATCTCTTGTATGTTGGTTGTTCTATTCCGGTCTGGATTCCCAGACCACCTCAAGATTGAGTAATAGATCAGTCGTTCATTGTAAAAAAAAAAAAAAAGAACTATGCCACCTAGGATTAAAAAATAAACCAATGTTAGAGGAGTATCCAGCCATGTCACCATAGATGAGTCCAAAGAAAATATAATCCTTACCTTTCGTTTTGTCAGTCTTGACCTTCCATTATGTCTTCTAAATATTTATTATGGTCCAAGTTGAGCCCAATTCCGAAACCAAATCTCAGATGCATCGATTAAATCAGCCCTTTCCACTTTGACTTCGACGTCTCAGTTCTGTAATGGCCGTTACCACCACCTCCTCCTGATTAGTCAATGAACTATTTAATCCTTCTTTGAAAACGTTCCACCTTACATTGGTCCTCCTATAGATTGCTTCGTCTAAAACCTAAAACCACCTGAAATCTAAAACACTTGGCCATTAAATCTACCGGAAAGTCTTCCCTAGCCGTTTATTTCAAGGACATGACCAGCGGAATCCGAGCTAAAATTTCGGTTGAACCTTTCTGGGAGGCTAGATATATTGCAAAAGTGGAGCTTTATTGGGTTAGAGCTCCTCCTCATCAACGAACAGGTTTGTGTGCTTATTGTGTCGTGCCAACATTTTTACACTCATGTCCTTAATATTTTCTCTGTTTTGAATTTTTCAGAGTACTTGGATGAATCGATGTTAATACCAAAGAATACATCTATTCTAATTCGTGAGTCCCAGGACGGCCTCACATGTGACTTATCACTGCACAAGAGTACATTCTCTTAGATCTTTTGATTTCCATCTGCTTTGTCCACTTATTTAGCTTCTTTATCTTAATCTAAACAAAAAAAGTTTTTGCTACACGTAAATTAAAAGTGTGACTATTGGTTTGAAGAAACACTGAACTTTCATGTTAAATAATGCAATTATCTGAATGTTGCAGGCCGATAATCAAGAATTAAGTGGAACATGTTCAAGCTGAAACCATCAATTCTCATGTTCCTCAGTCGCATGCAGTGAAATATGTAAGTTGATTACGGTGAACATTTATATTGGCGCTGAGTGCACCCATTTTGACCAATTTTTATAGCTAGAAAAGTACTAATTTTCACCTTCTAGCTTGAAGATGAGTTTGACGAGTTCGGGAATGATTTTTACTTCATTCATGCTATCCAAGGTGCCCATCATAATAATCAATGTCATGTTCTTGCACCAACATAATAGAAAGTATATGAAGAAAGCTAACTTCAGGCGTTGATTGACACCCCGACACTTGACTGGCAGAGGTAAGCCATCTTTTGCAGACGGTGGAGTTGAAAATACTGAGATATTTTTGCCAATATTTTTGTTTTGTTTTATTTATTATATTTGCGTCAAGTTTTAAGATACTGAGATTGGTTTTTTGACTTAACAAGAATGGAAAGTAAAACATCACCTCCAAGGTATATTTTCCATCGCTGGTAAGTCAACTTTGGTTAAAGTTGCTTTATTTTTCTTACATTTTCGTAAATAGATAAAAGGTGCTAAGATCATTTTTATTTCCTTTATCAGAACATTTTATTCAGCTTTACCCACAAATGGTGACCCTAATTACGATGTTAAACTACCTACTGGTATTCCCAAGTCCATGTTTGTGGTTCTTTACCCGTCGACAAGTGGTGCAACTGCAGTTCTTAAACCAAATGGGTAAGATGTGTTTAGTCAGTATGGGAATGTTGTTATTTTGTTCTCGCATATATTGAGTATAACGTAAGTGCTTATTGTGTCTTCAGTGTATCCAGGGATGCTTTAAAGAAGGAATTGGAGGGATTGACATCAACAACACGCTCTGTAGGAGAACTTCCGCCTGAGTTAAAGTGTCTGCTATGCAAAGAAGTAATGGAAGATGCTGCACTTACAAGTAAATGTTGTTTCCTAAGCTCATGTGTGACAACTGTAAGTCTGTAAGTACTCATAATTTGTTCAAAGTAACTTTTATTAGATTTATTATCAAAATTATATTCCTCAGTCAATAAGTTATATTGCTTTTGGTTGGTCCTGCAGTTTACAGTACATGTTCGTCCTCTCTGTTTTCGTGAATGCTTAAACCACAAAGCAAAGCTCAATATATACACCATAACCCAGAAAAGGCACAAATCAAAACAAGGAGTGACTGGAGTCTAGAGAATTTTCATGTGATGTATAGAGTTCTTCCATCAACAAGAGACAGTGAACATCACTAAATTAAAGCAAGTATTTCTGATTGTTTGAAGGGTTTGAGTTCTTTTATGTTTAGTTAAAGTGACCACCTGAATCTTGATATTATTGAACGTTGATTAATATGATTCGTGCATGCAACTCTCTATTATATTATAGTTTCTCTTATTTACTGCTCCATGTCCCACGATATACATGAGATTAGTAACAAAACGCTTTATTTATGGAGAAGGTTATAGTATGCAACACTATATTCGAGTTTGTTGTGTTGCTTTCCAAAATTTCTTAAATTTGATTTAACAAAAGAATGGAGAAACCTGGATAAAGAGTTGATACTATACCAACTAATATCATCTGTCAAGATTTGTAAGAAAAACTCCTAATTTTCATATATGAAATAAACATATTGGGCTTGATTAAAAAAAAAAACTGGACTTGATTGGTTACAACTGTAACTTTAAAATTTTTGATGTAGAATAGAGGTTGTAAAAATTTATGCTGTAATTGTAAAAATTTTGCTCAGTTTTTAAAGAGAAAAAAATGATTACAGATATTATATATATATATATATATATATATATATTAATATGTTCATTATGATTAAATTTTTATCAAAATTAAATTGACAAATATTTATTCCGTTTCAAAGTGATCGATGTCTTAGAGTTTATACGCATATTAATAAAATATATTAAATTTCGCTTTAGATATATTGTTTTCTGTGATTTTCTATTTTACATAAGTTTTAATCAATAATTTTTTAATAAATACAATCATTTTTAAAGTTTACAGTTACTGTGACTACCTAATAAAAATTTATTAAAATTAGAAATATTCCTTTTTAAACAAAACTTTTTTTAAAAAAACATAGATCATTTTAATTTTGAACAGAGAGTAATAATTTATTATTTTTTTATGAACCAATTAATTATTATAAAATTATAAAATGCTTATTTTAAGTAAATGAATATAATTGTCAAGTATTATCATATAATCAACATATGTGAGACTTTTTTTAATGTATGAAATTTATTGTTATATAACATATATGTATATTATTATTTTTTACAGTAGTTGTCATATTCTTGAGGTATACATGTAAATATGTATTATATATATATATATATTACGTATATTTTAGAAAGAAAAGAGAGCATAAAAACGAAAATTATTACACAGAGCACTTAAAGTAATGCTCTATAAAATTTGCTCTCTAAAGCTAAAGCTAAACTAAAAGATTTTCATGGCTGTAAGATTTAAAATTTAAACTAAAGTATGATTGCTTTTATTTTTTGGCTGTAGATAAAAATATGGGTGTGTACAACACTCTCTGCTATTACCAATCATCGCCATTATCACA